CAGTTTTGCATATCTAACATCATACCTGCTGGTACCCAACAAGTCAAAATTACTGTCTTAATGTCAAAAACTGCCACGATCTAGTTGCTACCTAAGGAAAAGTATGGCAGGAATTCTGATCATTAGTAATCTCCTTTAAAAGAGGGTCCTGCATGACAATGACCTATAACCTCTTATGTATTTTAAGACACCACAGCACCATAAGTTAACAGAATGGCAAGTAGCCAGAATCCAGGAGGTATGCCGGGAAAGTACATGGGCTGAAGGCATGAGTGTCTCATCACTGCTGCACAGAATAGAAGCTCTGTTGTCATCTCGCTGTCACAGAAACCAAGCTGAGAGACAGGCCTAGAGGGGCACAGAGGTCACAATATGGGGTTTTAAACAGGTCTCTATTATCTATCCCAGGGCTCTGTGGCTGGCCTCATACAGGCAGGAGTAAAGCAGCTTCCCCAAACCAGCAAGGACAGACAGGATGAAGTGTGGGATGCAGTGGAGAGGTCTGAGGCCTCTAGTCAGAATGAAGAGCGAGCAAAGGGGCATTCTGGATGGGGACTTGGAGTTGCAGGCCTCAGGCAATCAAGAGTGGCTTGACACAGGCGCCCTGGCATGCATAGCCGGGGTAAGGGAAGGAGGGCACACCGAGCAGGCTCTCAGGAACCAGAGTGTGCACGGCAGGCAGCGGTGGTCTCCACAGGACCAGCTGAACACCACCAATCTTAAAACGTGGAAATTGGAAATGACCTAAAATCTGAATGATTTCAGTGCAACACAAAGTCAAAGTGGAAAATAAATGACCTCACATGATGGTGACAGTCAAAACTCAGGCACACTAGACGTATTATATAAAGCCAGTCCAGGCTATACGTTTGGGGTATATATGAGACATACATGAACTGTGTGTTTAAACTTGGGTCCCATTCCATAGATATCTCATTAAATATATACAAATATTCCAAAATCTTGGAATTGGAAGTTTCAAAATATCTGAAATTGTAAATACTTCAGATGCCAAGCACTTTAGGAAGGGTCTTCTACCTGGATAATAATTCTCTCGAAGTAAGAGTTTTCATTAGTTGGGAGAATAAGAAGCTAACTGTTCTGACTTAGGACATCAGGGACACACACACAATAGGAAGTGAGGAGACACACAGACTCTTGGTATAGATGGAGTGTGAACCAGCAGTCTTGGTGTGCACCAGGCAGAGCCCCAGAGCACACAAGGTATATGCAGTACCAACCTCTGACCACAGCCCAGAGCAAACCAGACAGCATCTCCCAATATTCCCAGAGCAGCAGGGGGCTACCTCCGTAATGCCACTTTTGGGCTGTGACCTGTCGCTTGGTTCACAGTGATTGCCCAGAATCCCCCTCAGGTTGTTGTGATGTTTAACTGAGTTAATGAATGCAGCACTGGGTTGAGTGCTTACAGTTCAGCACATCCTCCATCCAGGGCAATCGCCATGAAACACGCAGTTTGGACAGTAACGCAGTGAGCATCAACGCCAATTACAAGGACTATCTTATAATGGAAGTTTTACCACTGGTGTTACTATGACAACTGTAGGGAAGGACCGAAAAATTATCCTATTCCAATTAGTTACTTACTCTCTGGGGTGCTGATTGCCCGTTTAGTTACATGTCTGACAGCTCTATCGGACTCTTGTTCCATGCTTAAGGAAGCTGCTAAGATAGAAGAGAAAAATCTATCAGTGCAAAATCCCAAAGCAGCATCATACAGAAAAAGAAAACAAACTACATGTGAAAAGTTAAAATTCCCTATGTTTCAAGTGACATACAAACAGGCCACGGAAATTACGAAAGCAATGCAAAATAAATGTTAAGGCTCCAGGGCAGTGTCCACACCCAAACCAATCAAGGAAGTAGAAAGTAAAATCATACTATTTTTACATTTTTGACAGTTTGGCAAAATACCAGTATTATTTTTGCATATATATGTTTAAATTATTTATTATTGTTATTATTTTGGAGATAAAGTCTCACTCTGTAGCCCAGGTTGGCCTGAAAATCATGGCAGTCCTCCTGCCCCATCCTCCCAAGTGCTGGATTATAGGTGCAGACCACCAAACCCAGCCTGAGGATTTTAAAGATTTTGTTCTTTGCCACTGGAAATAATTTCGAATATGAGACTATTTACAAGGACATTTTACTGTGTCATTTACATAAAAAATTGAAAAGCATCAACACTTTCAAGAGTAGGGCAGTAACTAAAGGCCCAGGACTTCCAGTTTAAGATGGAATGCTACAAAGCCACTAGACAAGAGTTCGGAAACGCTCATGGAGGCAGCTTCACTTTGTGTCTTACAGGTGTGTAGATGAAACAAGTTATAAAGCAACACATGGTAAGAACCCAGTCATAAATAAAGCACATGTATGTTAGGAGAGGTGGCTTTATTAACACCACATTTTCAAAATCCCTTAGAACAGGAAATGTGCTCAATCTTAATCCTAAATCTCCAATTAATGCTATTCAAGGACAAGAGAAAACATTTTAAGCTGGGCGGTGGTGGCGCACACCTTTAATCCCAGCACTTGAGAGGCAGAGGCAGGTGGATCTCTGTGAGTTCGAGGCCAGCCTGGTCTACAGAGTGAGTTCCAGGACAACCAGGACTACACAGAGAAACCCTGTCTTGGGGGCGAGGAGGTGGTTGAACTAAAGAGAAGATTTTTGAGCTGCACTCAGTCTATCTGGTGCCAACCTTAAGGCTTACCATGGCTCTGGGGTTTTTCTGGGCTTCCAGACTCTACACTGAAAGGCAATGCCCCTAAGCTTCGACTGTGATTCCTGCTCTTCGATGCTACAGCTTTCTTGACTGAATTCAGGATTGCGATGGTACTCAGGGACATGGACCTATGGAGACAAGATCCCAGACACTGACTCCGAGTGCAGACCACCATGGAGGCATCAGTTCCCACCCACTTCCTTTCGGATAGACTGTTCACCACCCTCCTTCCAGTCTCTCAGGGAAGCATGTGGTATGAGGAGACAGTTCAGGTTGAGCCTGGGGGGAATGAAGAGATGGCTATGAAAATACCATGAGAGACGCAGGCCGCTGCCGTCTCAGTGGGCTCCCTACCTGGCATTGGGCATCATCTTCAGAGGCCCATTTTCAGATATGGGAGACAAAGTTGGTGTGAAGCTGGACCCAGGTGCTGAAGTCCGGCTGTTGGCCAAAGATACATTAACGTTTTCCTGGTCAGCAGCAGCAGGTACAGCTTGTAAGTCAGGAGCACCCTATTCCAGGAGTGAACAAGAATATCATCATGGGCTGCGAGAAGTGCCCAGGTAATCCACTTTCACCCTGGACAAGGGCAACTACAACCTTCCCTTTAAAACAGAACTATCAGCAAACGGCTTCACACAGATGCTGCGGCAGGTCTGTCTTTCTCTTTTAATACAGCATGTCTGCTTGGACTCCTTAGGCAGAAGAATGTGAGCAACAGCTACACCGAGAAATGCCCTCACAGACAGTAAGCTCTGCAGCGCAGAGTCAGTACAGAAGACGTGGAGAGACGGAGGTGGAGGTGGCTCCAGAAATCAGAGGTCATGTGTGCTCTGCCAGGGGACCTACTGCAGCTCACACATTCTAATGTTTACCACAGTTTCCAGGCAAGGTCCCCTGACAGGGCCTGGAGGAAGAACCCTTGAGCTACTGGTGTGTCTGTCACAGGTAACACGTTGGCCAGCAAGGAACAAGGCCAAAGCTCAGCTCCAATCTCGGGTTATAGCTAGAATTTTGAGGAATGCAAGGAAAAGTGACAGACTAGAGAGCTGGCGAGCCTAAGGTGGCCGCTCCTACCTGCACGGCCTGCGCTCTGTCACCGCCTTCGGCCACTCTGCTCACGTCAGCATGTTCGGTCAGAGCCTGCTCCTGGGCCAGCTGTTCATTGTACTTCTTCATGTCATACTCAAGTTCAGAGGCCAGTTGTTTGTCAACCGCGAAGAAATCTTTGATTTCATCTCGGTAGTCCTGCATCACCTCCTGAAACAGACCCAGAGCATCCTTTAGTACCTTCTTGATCGAACAGTGAGGTCTTCTCTGGTGTGGTGCAGGGCAGGTGAGACTGGAGGATCCTGAGTTCCAGGCGAGCTCAAGCTACACAGCAAACCTTATCTCCACAGCAGCAATAAACTATCAGCACCCCCATTACACCAATTGATAGGTTCCTAAGCACAAGGGCATTTTCTGAGGAAACACTGACCGCCTAAGCAGGTGACCATGATGTGGGTCATTAGCTAATAGCTGCTAAATTAAAGAAGAAAATGTGCCATTTCTTTTTGAATGTTTTTTTGGTTAAAGGCATGAGGTCTTGATTAGGTCTGTTCTGCAGGCAAACACATTCCAGCTTTCCTAGGGTAGCTTCTCATGGTCCCCTGCTTTACAGACAGCCCAGGAACAGGAGTTGCTTCAAGGTAACACCCTATCCCTATGTGTGTGATCCTGCCAAAGGCCCATTACTTCCTGCCCATAAAAGCAAACACCCAACATTAAGCCTGCCGACCAATTTCCATCTCTTCCTTACAAGATGGACTAGGAAAGTGTCCTGTCCTCAGCTTTGGTTAAGAAGATTTTCAGATTGAACTTATTCCCAAGGAAGGGTATAGGGGTTCAGAACAGGAACGTATGCTTTAAAAACTCAGCTGCCTGAGAACCAGGAGCAACCTCAGCGGTGCCTCTGGCCAAACGCTTCAGTACCTCAAAGTCCTCGGCAGTCACAGGCCAGCCTGGTGGTATGTTTCTACACAGACTAGGTTTCCTAGCATTCTGAGTTCTTCTCATCCACTGTCTAGACTAAACAATGAGCCTGGGGCAGTGGGGCTGGGGAGGAAAAGCCCACAGGGCAAGCTCCTCATTTACCCTGAGGTAGTTCATGAGTTCCCTCAAAGCAGGGATCTTGTTTTTCTCCAGCACAGTCTTCAGGGAGGTGATGATTGGAATAATATTCTCTATGAAATTCTTCTTTTGAACCTGCAGGAACACAACAAAAGCATGCTTTAGACGCACACACATCTGAAAAATAACTTTTCCTTGGTCCACTTCTCTAAGTACACCAAATCTAGCAGACTGCAGAGGCCTGTCTGCCATTTGACCAGGATACTGGGAATGAAGAGGGTCTATGTCCAGCTTGTTCTCAGACTGTAAGTGGTGCCACAGCACATGCAGGCTTGTACAGCAGAATGCATATTAACACTACTTACATGTTCTAAGTGAGAACAAGGAGTAAGAAATACGATGAGGAACTTGACAAAAAGTTCCAATCTCCACGCAACCCTGATGGAACCTTGGTCCTGGCTCTAACCTACACCCTTCCTTTTGAAAGGTAATCTGTTCATGCTGACTACCAAAGAGACACATTATAATCTTGTGTGTAAAAAGGCAATGATCTCTGGTTGGGTAAGCATTAAGATGGCCAGTTTTGTTTGTTTGTTTTGTGTGTACCTTTCTATATGCATATGTAACTCTGTGATGTGCTAGCGTGGTGATCTGGGCTGCAGAGCATCTGCACTTAGGAGCCTGAGGATGGAAGCTCAAGAGTTTGAGACCAACCTGAGCCACACAGTAAGATGACTTTCAAAAACAAACAAACAAACAAACAAACAAACAAACAAACAAACAGTATGTGATTTAAATAATCAGTAACCGAGATCCTGTGCAGTAAATCTTAGAATTAAAGATAATTCACTATATTACCCCACACATGTAAGATTTCTCTTTCTGATGCTAACATGTAATCTATCTTTCATTTACAGCTAACAGTGTTTCTTGCATGTACACCACTCATTCCTGAAGCTTTGGGTCAGAGTCCATGAAACAGGGTAACAAGAAAAGGAATACACAAGCTGGTAAACATGCATCTGAACATACGGTAAGTTTGGGAACTTCCTTAAATGTGGTCTAAATGCACTCGACAAGTATTGTCAAGCATACTCTCTGTGTTCATATTGCTTCCAAACCAGTGTGTGTTGTGACAAATGGCAGGAGATGGCGACTGCAGGAGACAGGGAACTGATGTAGAGGAAGGAAACCTGGGGAAGATGAGCAGGCAAGAATGTGCACCGGAGGATTCTTTCCGATGATGCTTTACATGTGTGGGGATTAGGATGGACCCAACGGCAGTTTGTGTGGATAGAACACTTAGGCAGAAGAACCAGTGCCAAAGGCATGGAACAGAACACATCTGAGGTTCTGAGAGAGGGAAGGAACAAGGTGAGGGCAGGCAGTTTTCCATGTCTTTGAGAATCCGGATTTTATCCAGAAGGTGACAGGATACCACCAAGGTAGCTTAAAATTATATAATATCTGATACATTTATGGATTTTTAAAAAGTAAGTATTTATTTTGTGTATGTATGTGTGCCTGAGTTCATGTGTGTGTACCTCATGCATACAGGAGCCCACAGAAATCAGAAGTGCATCATATTCCCTGGAACCCAAGTTAAGGCCATTGTGAGTTACCACATAGGTGCAGGAACTGAACAGCAAGTGCTCTTAACTGAAGAGCCCTCTTTCCAGCCCCCACATTGATCAATTTTAAGAGAAAAGTTCCACGAGCGTTCACAAAGTACTAAGTGTTCAATAGCACAGATCATTTACAACCCACCCCCCAGAAGTTCCTTGCTGTCTCAACAGCCATTTTCAATATATTTTGCAGAGAATAATTGTGCTTAAGAAAGACTGTTTTGACAGCAGGGTAGTACATGTCCTGTAAGAGAAGAACCAGACACAGGAAGGGTGCTGATAGGAAATGGCACAGGCTTAAAGAAACAACCATTGGAAAGGCAAGAGACAAGATCTTCTGCAAAACTGGATGTAATCAAAATCCTTTGGGATCAAAAGACTCCAGGGATCAGGTAGGAAATATAAACCAGACTTTCAAGCTAGGTACAAGACCATGGAGCCTGCTGAGGGCTGTGGTAACCAGGCCTTCCCAGACACTGAATTTCTAATTTGACACTCTTGGTTAACCCAAACACGTCCTTGGCATGCCAGATTCCTGTTCTGCCTTTGACTGCAGCACAAATTCTCTAAAAAGGAACCGTTGGTATATAATTGTTCCTTTCCTTCTGAAAGACTGGGAGAAGAAACCAAACAAGGAGAAATGACTAATTCAGTTCTGCCAGTAAATGTGAGACACCATGGCACACCAGGCAGGCAAGTAGACACACATTCAGAGTCACGGAAGGAGCTGTACGTAGCTAGAGGCAGAGACTTCAGAATCACAACTACCCAGAAAGCCACTGGTAAGAACAGCTCCAGGACTCAGGTTCACAACCCCCACTGGAGCAGCAGAGTGTGCACACACCTGAGAGATGATCTTCATCTGGGCTTCCTGCATGACCACATTTGCCAGAGCCATGTCATCGTCCTCCAGGAGGTCCTTGCACGCTTGAGCTCTCATTGCCAACAGCTTGATCTCCTTTGAGCTGAGGATGTCAAAGGTATCTGAGAGCAACTCACTGGCCTCCATGTCCAGGGGCAAGATGCCGTCAGTGAAGCATGCTGAGAGAGCACAGGGGAGCGGTTTCTGAGAAAGCCTTCGGGAAACGGTATTCACAGAAGTAGGACAAGTCTGGGCTGTGACGGGAGGTGGGGATGGGGTCCTAAGAGACATAACTGATGCTAAGAAGGACAAAAAGGACGTGTCTTCCATACAGACCTGCTGTGCTATCAGCATTTTAAGGACACATTTACCCCAAATACACCAGACATACCCAAAATACTAAGGCAGATTTTGGAAGTGACATTGAACCGCTGCTCGTCTGTGAAGTGCTCAAGAAGGAACTTGTAGATTCTCATGCGCTTCTCCTTGTTTGTCTTCCCCTTTAGCAAAAACAGCCGCTTCCCTCTGTGGCAGAACAGGACAAGGTCACTGCACTGTGTGGGGACAGGTGACGAGGTCTAAGTACAGCGACACTGACTGAGCTTTCTTTTGTCATTGTGCCAAGGAAGCTAATGACCGCCGCCGCAGCAGACAGCAGGTGAGTGTCAGTGTCCAACCTCTGCACGACACAGCCAGCACCTCTGGAGCCTGACCACAGCTCGTCCCGAGACATGAGATGTGCTTACCCCAGCGGCTCACTCACCTCTCTGACTGGGAAAACTTGTTGTACTGCGCATGCTTCTCATAGCTGTTGAAGTGGAATATACACTCAATGAAGTGCTGGAAAAACATGGTAGGGTTCCTCTTCAGCAACAAGTGAGCCAGGCAAAACTCCCCAAGGCTGCCAAGGAGAGAGGCAAAAGGAGACCCACTTACTACTCACTGTCAGTCTACAGATATGCCAAGAACTCTGCCAGACAGCAAAGCACAGAATTCAAAATACATCCCAACAAATGGCCTCATCGGCTCAAGCAAGTGAAGAATGCTACACGCTTTGTCTGTCCTTGCTCAATATTTCATTTCAAAGCTAAGGGCCGTGTGAATGCTTTCTCTACCAGGTTTTACTTACTGCTAAGATTCATTACTTTTAATTATGTGTGTGATTGTGTGCCGGGGTATGGCCACATGTTGCAGATGCCCAGCTTGTGGAGGCCAGCAAAGGGGCTTTGAATTCCCTGGAGCTGGAGTTCCACGTTGTGAGGCACCCAATGAGGAACAGAACTGTGTCCTCTGCAAAAGCAGTGCTCTTACCTGCAGAACCATCTCTCCACTCTGCTCTATCTGCTTTTATTTCAAAACTCAAATCAAACGGTACTATCCAGCTCTACTTCTAATAGAAAAAACAAAACAAAACAACTTTCCTAAAACTCCTTCAAGCAGAGGCCTGGGTCCTCAGGTCTAATGCAATGATAATGGTTACCCGAAAATGAACACATGGTCTTTATACTCCAACTTCAAGTTGCTGGCCACAATAATGAACACAACCCCATCTGAATGCCTGAAACTTTGCATAAGAGCAGTGGTAATAAGAGCTTCATGCTTTGGGCTAGGAAGACAAGTACTCTCCTGAGAATTAATAACTGTCACCGAGCTTTGGAACCACCAAGAAGTTCTGGGCATTCTCCAATCACCTGTGGCTCCACACCTGGAAGCCTTTCAGCATACCTGCATACAATGCTGCACCTTTACTAAACACCACTTAGGACCACCAAAACAAAATACAAAACAGAGCCTACTGGTTTCCAAAGCCAAACTGTCACTGGCAGCCTACCTGACCATTTCTGTGTTACCACAGCAGTGAGCGAGCAAACACCAAGACTTGCTACAGGGCCAACCCAGGTGAGGCGCTTGCTAAGGTTCACTTTGTCAAGATGGGGAGTTTTAGTTTCATCATATAGCTCAGCCATGATTCCCACCTCCTCAGGAGCACCAGCCAGCCCCCTTCTGGAGAGCAGAGACAAGGATGAGTATAATGTTTTGCACTTGGCTTTGCAAGGCATTAGGACTTTGCTGGAAACTGATTTCTTCTAGTTGTATTTCTCAAGCTGAGAAGCAAACTAGTTTGAATTGTGCATATCAATTAAAATTCAGAACAGGGAGCTCAGAAACCATGATGCTAAAAAGCTTAGTTTTTAAAAATTCTGCAAAGGGCAATCAGGTACTGCCTAGGAAATAAGGTATCAAGATAACTTTTATTATTAAAAGAAATAGTTTTAAAAAATGGTGCCAAGCACAACATAACTGTTTCATACAATATATTTTGATCAGTTACTCCCCTCTCCCAACTCCTGCAGATCCTTCTTACTTCCCGACTGACCAAACATCAAGTTATTTCTTCTGCCTGTCTAAAAAACGGTAAGATAATACGACAAAATTAACAAAAATGAAAGAAAAGGCCACAAAACAGAAGATGGAGTTTGTTTTGTGTTGGCCAACTACTCCTGAGCATGGGGCCTGCCCTGGAGTGCAGATGATATACCCAGTGACACTCCATTGGAGAAAACTGATTTTCTCTCTCCCAGCAGGTGTCAATTGCCAAGAAATGGTTGGTTAGGGCTGGGACTTTGTGTCCACTTCCCCTTCTCAGTGCTGGGATACTGTGGGACTCGAACCTATGCAGTTCTTGGGCACGCTGTCAAGTCTCTGTGAGTTCATGTGTGCATCAGTCCTGTTGTGTGTTGTGTGGAAGACACTGTTTCCTTGAAGTCACCCACCACGTCTGGCTCTTACAATCTCTCTCCCTCCTCTTCCACATGGTGCCTGAGCCTTGAGGGGATGGGGTTTGATGAAGACATCCCATTTAGGACTGTATTAGGATAGTATTCCCAAGTCTCTCACTCTCTGCACACCGTCTAGTTGTGGGTCTCTGTGTTAACCATCATCTACTGCAAGAAGAAACTTCTCTGATGAGGGCTGAGTGAGGCATGCTCTGTGGGGTAGCACTGTGTCACACAGCCATTTTATTCCTGTCTTTCTTTAGCAGAGTAACAGTACTAGCTAGGCCCACTAGGCCCACTAGCTAACTGGTCTCAGGTTCTTGGCCGCTCCAGCAGTGTCAGGTATGGGTTCCGTTTCACGTAGTGGGCCTTAAATCCAGTTTTAAAAAAGTGATTAGCTACCCCAAACATTTGTGTCACTACTGCACCAGTCTATCTTGCAGGCAGGCCACCGTAGGTTGTAGGGTTCATAGCCGAATGATACTTGTAGCGCCATGCAGTCTAGACAAATCTCTCTCGCACGCGGTCCTGCAGCCGCTTATAAAATAATCATTCAAAGCCTTAATATTAATAATAAATTATATGGCCTATGGCTCAGGCTTCTTACTAGTTAGCTCTTATAACTTAAATTAACCCATTTCTATTAATCTATGTTTTGCCACACGTTCTGTGGCGTTACCTATGTGCTATTACATGCTGCTCCCTGGACGGTGGGATGGCGTCTTCTCTGCCTCTCCTTTCACTCTCTCCCTTGGATATTCCTGCTTGGCTCCATCCTGCCCTGCCATAGGCCAAATGGCTTTATTTATCAACCACTCAGAGCAACACATATTCACAGCATACAGAAAGATACTGATCACTTTTATCCTCTGGTAGCATGCAGAGTACCTTCCAGTACCATGAATGTGGGCCAGCAGAAGTGAAGCTTCTAATTCAGTACCAGCTGGATTTTTCCATGCTCAGTGACAATTCTAAGTGTCCTTAGTAATAGGGTTTTACCATTAGGATGTGATGAGCAATCAATAGCCTTGGTAATAGTCTGTGATGTTTAAGGAAGCCCAAGGGATCCCTTTAGTCAATGACTCAATAAGATGTAACCCATTCCTAGAACTGGAGGTTTTACTTGGCATAAGGGATCTAGTTTGGGCATTGTCTCCCCTATAGTATAGGGACTCCATTTCTTTTCATGTGAGTATATTTTAGGAAGCTTCTACAGCAGTAGGTTTCCATATGGCTTTCCAAAAGGCCTTCAGTGTTAGCTGTTCCTCTTCAATTCCTTCCTTTTCCTACTCTCTCGTCCCTTTTCCCAGCTAATTCTTCTATTCCAACTTGCAAGAGCCAGAAGCCATGGACAACTTCAAGGAAACAGTGTCTTCCAGATACAGGACTGATGCACACACTCCACAGTACTATACTCTATCCCCCTTTTTGGGAAATCCCCTCATCCCTGCTCCCTTGCCATCCTAACCTCTGTGGTTATTCAGGTGGTAGCAAACATACTGAAAACTTAAAAGCTAACAGCCATATGTAAGAGGTAACATGCTATATTTGCCTTTTTGGGTCCGGGTTAACCTCACTTGGGATGATTGCTTCTAGCTCTACCCACTTACCTGCCAAATTCATAATTTTATTTTTCTCAACAGCTGAATAATGTTCCATTGTGTAAATGTACCACAGTTTCATTATTGATTCATCACTTGATGGACATCTAGGTGTTTCCAATTTCTGGCTAGTAGAAATAGAGCAGCAATGAACATGCGTGAGTAAGTATCTCCGCAGTCTTTTGGGTATATGCCTAAGAAAGGTATTGCTGGATCTTGAAGTAGAACAATTCTCAGCTTCCCAAGGAACCTCCACGTTGACTTTCATAGTAGCTAAACCAGTTTGCACCCCCGTCGGCAATAAGTAAGTATTCCCCTTTCCCCACATACATCCTCAACAGCATCAGCTGTCATTGGATCTTGGCCATTCTGACTGTGGGAAGATGAAATCGCAAAGCAATTTTAACTTGCATTTCTCTAATGGCTAAGAAATTTGAACATTTCTTATGTTTCTCTGCCATTTGTGTTTTATCTTTTGAGAACTGTCTTGATTTGTTTTGTACTCCATTTTAAAAGTGAGATTTCTTTTTTGATGTTCAGGGTTTTTTTTGTTCTTTGTATATTCTAGACACTAACCCTCTATCATATGCTGTCATTTTGCTTGAATGATATAGCCTTTGCCATAAAGAAGCTTTTCAGCTCCATAGGGTCACATTTATTAACTATTAGTTTTAATGCCTATGTCCTGTTCAGAAAGTCCTTTCCTGTGTCAATGAGTTCAAGCTCATGACCCACTTTCTTGTCTATCAGATTCAGGGTATTTGGTCTTGTGTTGAGGTCTCTGATGCATTTGGAGTTGAGTTTTGTGCAGGGTCAGACAGACATGGATCTATCTTCATTCTTTTATATGTTGCCATGCAGTTTCAATGGCACCATATGTTGAATATATTGTCTTTTCTCCAGTATGTATTTTTGGTTTCTTTATTAAAATCAGGTATGTGGAATTGTCTTCAGTTTGGTTCCACTGATTGTTGTGTCTGTTTTTAAGCCAATCCCATGCTTTTATTTATTACTATTGCTTTGTAATATGATTTGAAATCTGGGATGGTGATAGTACTAACAGTTCTTTCATTATTGAATATTGAGCCTGTCCTCGGTTTTTTTGTATTTCCATATGACATGAAGATTGTTTTTTTGTTTTTTAAATTTCTCAGAAGAATTGTGTTGAAGTTTTGATGGGGGACTGCACTGAATTTGTAGACTGGCTTTAGTAGGATGCCATTTTCACATTAATATTCCTGATCCGTGAGCATGTGAGATCTTCCCACCTCCTGATGTCTTCTTCAATTTCTTTCTTCTGTGTCTTAAAAGTTTTTATTATACAAGTCTTTACCTTGTTTGGTTGAGGCTATTGTAAAAGGTACTCTTTCCTTGCTCTCTTTCTCAGTCTGCCATTGGTAAACAGGAAGGCTACTGATTTTTCTGTTAATTTCATGTCCTAATACTTTGCTGAAGTGTTTATCAGCTGTAGAAGTTTCCTAGTGGAGTCTCTGAGGATATTTATGTATAAAATCATATCTGCAATAAGGATACATTGACTTCTTCCTTTCCTAGTTGTATCCCTTGGTCTCCTTCAGTTGTCTTACTGCTCTAGCTAAGATTTCAAGTACTATATTGAATAGGAATGGACAGAACAGACAACCTTTTTTTGGTTCCTGATTTTACTGGAAATGTTTAGAGTTTCTCTCTGCTTAGGATGATGCTGGCTGTGGCTTGCTCTAAATAGTCTTTATTATGTTGAAGTATGTCCCTTGTATTCGTAGCCTCTCCTGGACTTTTACCATGAAGGGATATTGGATTTTATCAAAGGCTTTTTCTTTAGCAAATGAGATGATCATGTAGTTTTTGTCTTTCAGACTGTTTATGTGGTGGATTATATTTATTGACATATATTTTGAATCATTCCTTCATCTTTGGAATGAAGCCAACTTGATCATGGTAGATAACTTTTTTTTATGTCTTCTTGAATTTGGTTTACAAGTATTTTATTGAGAATTTATGCATCTATGTTCATAAGGGATACACACACACATATACACACACACCTGTGTGTTTTGAGTATCAGGTTAATAGTAGCTAAAATTAGGTAGTAGTGTTCTTTCAGTTTTTATTTTGCAGAATAATTTAAGGAGTATTAACATTAGTTCTTCTTTGAAGGTCTGGTAGAATTGTGTACTGAATCCATTTGGCCCTGGGCTTTTTTGTGTTGGGAGATTTTTAAATTACTGCTGTTTCACTAGGGGTCATGGGTCTGTTTAAACTGTCTATTTCATCTTGATTTAGGCCATATATATCAAGAAACTGATTCATTTCTTTTACCTTTTCCAGTATGGTGGAACAAAGGTTGTTAAAATATATCCTTAGGATTCTCTGAATTTCCTCAGTGTCTGCTGTAATATTTCCCCTTTCAGCTCTAATTTTATTAAGGTGGACCTTCTCTCTCCATCTTTTGGTTAATTTGGCTAAGAGCTTGTCAATCTTGTTGATTTTCTCAAAGAACCAACTCTTCATTTCATTGATTTTGTTATTATGTTTTGTTTCTATTTCATTGATTCTGCCCTGAAACTCCAGATGTGTTTAATCATTTCTCCCCACTCACTGTGTTTTGAGCAATTCTTTTTCCTTCCTCCCTTTCTTTTTCCTAGAGCTTTCAGGTTTGTTGTTAAGTTACTCAATCTCTCCAGTTTTCTATGTAGGCACTTTGTGCTATGAACTTGCCTCTTAGAACTGTATCCCATAGGTTCAGGTATACTGTGTTCTCATTTTCCTTCAGTTCTAAAGTTTGTAATTTCCTTCTTGATTTCTTGGTTCAATTTTCATTCAGTAGTGAGTTTTCAGTTTCCTTAGTTTGTTTATTTTCTGCTATTTCTGTTGTTGATATCAAGTTTTAATCCATGGTGGTCAGATAGGATGTGGGGTGTTATTCCACTTTTCCTGTATCAGTTGATACTTGCTCTGTTTCCTAATATGTGGTCATTTTGGAGAAAGTTCCAGGAGCTGCTGTAAAAGAAGCATATTCTTTAGTGTTTCAGTGAAATGCTCTGTAAATATCTGCCAGGTCCCTTTGATTTATGATGTTATTTAACTCCAGTGCTCCCCTCTTTAGATTTTTATCTGGATGACCTATTTATTGGAGAGAGTAGGGTATTAAAGTCATCCACATTCACCAGGTTAGGGTCAATACATGATTTTTGTTGTAGTGGTGTTTCTTTTATGAACTTGGGTGCCCTTACATTTGGTGTATAAATGTTTAGAATTGCAATAATCTCTTGGTGGACTTTTCCTTTAATGACCTATGTAGTGACCTTCCCTATCTCTTCTGATTCGTTTTGATTTGAAGTCTATTTTGTCAGATATTAAAAGTTATAATTGTTTGCTTCTTGGTTCCATTAACTTGAAATAATCTTTTCTATCCTTTTACCCTGGGGTGATGTCGGTCTTTGATGGTGAGGTGTGCTTCTTAGATGCAGCAGAAATATGGATCCTGTTTCCTAATCCAGTCTGTTAGTTTGTCTTTTTCTTTGGGGAACTGAGACCACTGATAGTTACGGATAACAGTGTTTACTGATTCCTGTTATTTGTTGTGGTACAAATTCCTCCACCCTTCTCTCTTGATTTACTGTTCTGGGATTATTTATTATGTCCTCTTGGGTGTAGTTAACTTCTTTCAGACTGAAGTTTTCCTTCTAGTGCCTTCTGTAGACTGGACTGGTGGACAGAAATCTCTTAAATTTTTTTTATCGTGGAATGTTTTTCTTTCTCTGTTTGCTGTGATTAGTAGTTTTCTGAGTATCGTGGTCTGGGCTGGAGTCCGTGGTCTCAGTTTGTAGAACATCTATCCAGGCCCTTCTGGCTTTCAGTTTCCACTGAAAAGGCAGGTGTTATTCTAATAGGACTCTCCTGATATGTGACTTGGCCTTTCCCCTTGAACTTGAAGCTTTTTTTTTTTTTTTTTTTTTTTTTTTGTTTTTCGAGACAGGGTTTCTCTGTGTAGCTCTGCGCCTTTCCTGGAACTCACTTTGTAGCCCAGGCTGGCCTCGAACTCACAGAGATCCGCCTGCCTCTGCCTCCCGAGTGCTGGGATTAAAGGTGTGCGCCACCACCGCCCGGTGGAACTTGAAGCTTTTATGTCATTTCTTATTCTATACATTTAGTGTTCTATTATGTATGGGGGAGAATTTCTTTTCTGGTCCAGTCTATTTGGTGTTGGTATGCTTCTAATACCTTGATAGGGACCTCCTTTTGGCTGGGGAAATTTCTTCTTTAATTTTGTTAAAAATATTTCCTGTGCCTTTGAGTTAGGTTTCTTCAACTTCCTCTACCCCTATCATTCACAGATTTGGGCTTTTTGTAAAATCCTGGACTTCCTGCATGTTTTGTACCTGGATTTTTTTTTTTCAGGTATAACATTTTCTTTGATTGACCTATCCATTTTTTTCTACCTTCTCTTCAAGACCTGAGGTTCTCTCTCCCATGTCTTTGAATCTGTTGGTAAAACTTACCTGAGGCTTCTGTTTGATATCCTGAGGACCCTCTTTATATGTGACTTGGCCTTTCTCCTTGAACTTGAAGCAGGTCTAAGTGACTATTTCTTTGTTAAATTCTATTTCCATGTCTTGAATTGTTTCCACTATTTCATTCAACTTCATGTGTTTTCATGGTCTTAATTGAGGCATTTATTCATATCCTCTTTAAGGTCCTATAACACATTCATAGTTACTCTTTTGAAGTCCTTGTCTTATGCTTCAGCTAAATTGCTTTTCTTGGAGCTTATTGCAGTAGGGTTGCTGGCTTCTGGAGGAGGCACACTGGCTTAGCTGTTCATGTTTGTGTTTTTGCTTTGGGATCTGGGCATCTGGAGTTAGGATGTTTGAAGTGTCTGCTGTGTAGATATCTCTCTTCTCTTTGTTGGGTGTGGGTGAGTGCTCTATTCTTGGGTTGCTGTTCCTACTCTGTGTCTTAGCTAATTGTGGTGGCTGTGGGGTTTCTGGTAGAGTGTTTCTACAGGTTGGTGGGTGTCACAAAAGAATGGAAATGGGTTAGAAGCCAAGGCTACACATAGAATTAGAGGGACCCTGGTTCTGTCTAGGATGACTTGCAAATACAGAAACAAACACAATTTGTATAATAAAAGGAAGAATAGGAATTTGCCCTCTATGCTCTTCTTTATGGTCAATCTACTATAGCACAGTGGTTCTCATGTCCACCAGGACCTTCTCCTCAGACCTGAACTCACATTATGAATCTGCTAAATCATCAGGAGGGAGGGGCTGCTTTAACCTGATCCCAAGACAGACGTGCATTTTCTTGGGGTTTAGGCTGGGAACGCAGATCAGCAAGAGTAACTGATGGTGGAACACTGGCCTGTATACTACTGGGAGCTATGCACATATATTTCACTATCACGTGAGTCCTGGCAGGACCGCATGTTCAGGGATGAAGGCTGCCACTGAGATGTTCGTTAGGAGAAGCTGCAATCAGTCAGTGCAGTGTCTAAGATGCTGCATCTACAGAGCCTTTATTGTAACAGCAAGTTTCCATCTTGATATACTGGAGAAAAGGGTCTAACTTTCTTGTTGGTCTGCTGAAAAGTTCAAAGAAATTTAATTTCAGACTCAAGGAAGGCGAAGGCAAGGAATAGGAGAGGTGGCAACGGGTTAAAGCAACAGACACACAGCTGGTCCAGCATGGCGGCCTCTGCTAGCTATCTGTTTTCTGTTAGTCTGGTAGCTTATTTTTCTCTCCACCCCAAGTCATGACCCGGTGTCTTCAAGGCTTACAGATAAGCACCCAACTGTCACCCCTCACCTGCCATTTTCCAGACTTCTTTCATGGTTCCCCCACATTCGTATTCTATGACACCACTCCGTGGCCGTGGACCATGCCACTGCATGGAATCGGAGCTTCTTCTGTACGTTCCTTGTCTGTCCTTCCAGCTGTTTGGCCTCCCTATCCCATCCCATTTGTTCTGCAGCTTCACTGAGCTCTGCACAGAGTGGAGTTTCTTTTTCTCCCAAATCAAGTCACCTTTGCTTTCCTCCCTTTTCTTTCTCAGTGGCACTTCGTTTGAACTCATTTGTGCAGCAACTGCCTAATTAACAGGCTGTATATTACTTGGCTATCACCCTGTGACTATGGGACGACAAGACCGCCACCTAGTGGTCAGGGGAGAAAATATGCCATATAATTTTGTAGCTTCAAAATAAAGTTTTAGATGACCCTGTTAAAGATGTGCTGGGATATAGCTCAGTGGTAGAGCACTTACATAACCTGTACAAGGCCCTGGGTTCAGTGTCCATCCCCCATTTTTCTTCCTTAATTTCCTCATGCCAGACTCTTCAGGAAATCCAACTGGACCAAAAATACATTCAATAGGCTCTGTCTCTCAGTCTCTGTAAATTCTGACTTGGCAGAAACATATGGAGAAACTAATCCACTTAGTATAAACAAATTGGCCTGACACTGGCCTAGCTATGTAGACATCAGCTTTTCTGAAAGAAGAAACTCCTGTCCACATTTGGACCATGGTTTAAATAAACACAGAATGCAGAGATTGAGGGTCGATGAGATGGCCAGTGGGTAAAAGGCCTGCCACCAAGCCTGATGATCTGAGGTCAATCACGGGGACCCACATGACGAAAGGCGAGAACTAACTCCTGCAAGTTGTCTGACCTCCACACGTGTGCTGTGGTACATACATGCCCCCAAACAGATACACATAATAAGTAAGTAAGATGTAATAAAAACATTCTAGTGAGAGATTTAAGGAAAGAATATCAAATGCTAAATGTGCTGATTGTCTCACCATAGTGTATAACATCTCTTTATCTGATCAAATTTCCTTCTGACCCATGCCCCTAGGATCTGGATTTACACCGTCTATGTAAATGTTATGCGCTGACTAATGCTCTTCTTTAAATATATCCTTTTCAACTATGTGAAATGTATTCTTTTTAACCAATACACATACATTATACATATTTATGGGGTACCATGTGATATTTTAACATGTGTATATACTGTGAAATGTTTAAATTGGGTTAAACTTATCTAGTGCTTCATTTTTTCTTTCTTTCTTTTTTTGGTTTTTATGTGTAGTTTTGGTGCCTTTCCTGGATCTCGCTCTGTAGATCAGTCTGGCCTCAAATTCACAGAGATCTGCCTGCCTCTGCCTCCCGAGTGCTGGGATTCAAGGCATGCGCCACCACTGCCCAGCATCTATTGTCTCTTTTTAAACATGCTTATATAGGAGCTGATAAAAATGAGAGAAAAAGATGGAGATACAGCTTAAACAGAAAACACTGCATCCTAGGTTCATCACCTGAAGGCATTCTGAACACTTACACCAGGGCCAGTGTGACTACGTCGACCACTGGCCACAAGGGTCCTTAAGGGGCACATTAAAATCAGGTGGCACATCCATCTCAGCCCTTCCCCAACTACACAAAGAAGAAGCTGGAGACCCCAGTGTTTTTGTTTCTGCCTCTAGACAATATTAATTAGAAGGTTAATGTTCTGCTACTTTGTTATGTGAAATATTCCTCTTTGAAAATTAAATCCAAAGAACTCAACAGAAATTCTTCTATGGAAAGCAGACCAAATTATTGGTGACCAAATTTAGAAGCAGAGAGAGCCGTTCTTATAAGCTATTTATAGTTAATGACTCTGGAAAGACCTTTCGCCTGCTGTAGTGGCTTTGGTTGTGGCATTCAGCATGTTTTCCACATGAAGATTTGCTTTAAAAATAATTATTCATACAACATAATCTGGAGTAGCAAATCCTATCAGAGCATTTCCAAACCTCTTGAAAATAAATCTTTAAAAAAAAAAAAAATACAAGAATAGGAATTAAGGAATGGCAAAGCGATACTTCTCCTTTCTAGTTCTCAAGAAACAAAACCATTTCCAAGGAGCCTTTGCAATCTGCACACTGCATTTTACACTGTGCCATTCACTCTTTAATTCTTAGAATCTCTTCCTTACAATTTCTGAACTTAAAGGAAAATTGGATTTGTCAAAATTAACTGTTTTTTTTTTTGTCTCTAGAAATCACTAGAAGAGTCACTAGTTAATGCCTCCCATACTATACAGTTTAAATGACCAGGCAGAGTGTTCGTCACTACTCCTTAGTGAGAGCAGGCAGTGTTAGCAAATGATGGAGTCAGAGCTGAGATTATTTAGTTAGCCGTCTGCTCAGGTTTGGTTTGTTTTGCTTTTAAAACATGTATATATAAGGTCTGTTCTATCATTCAGTATTTTAAGATTTCCTGGTAATTATTAGAAGCCGACTAAATCCCAAACAACTGTAGACTACCCTGAAAGGAAAGAGTGCACACCAGGAAATAGGTCAACTGTTGAGCTCCCTGACACGGGAAGGCAAGATTACCTGGCAATGTCTGGGTGTGGATCGACCAGGGTGCTGACAAAGCGAAAGAAGAGACAGCCCTTCCACTTCACGTATTCTTCCTGTACGAGGGTGAAAACAGCATACTTCAGGGTGGACTTTGACATGGAAACGTGAGATGTGCCAAGGTGCAGAGTCATTTGCTGGCTTTCCTTTATGTAAGGTTCCACCTGCTGACCACTGGTCCACCTGGGACCCGAGTGTAGTCTGACAGTGTTTACCTCCTAACCTCCTTCAAAGCACATAGCACCTGCCAGTTCGAAGAGATGCAGAGGAGTATTTGGGCAAAAACTTAACAAATCTACAGCATAAAGAAAATAACACAAAGAATATGGCTTCAATGGGCAGATCCATAATAATCCGTAATGCAGGAGAAGATAAGCTTATGAGTGTTTAGAAAAGATGTATAATCAGCGATTTCCTTCTCATTATAGGCTAACTACAAGCTCTGAATGTACACGGAAGTATCATATGCTCTAGACAGTCTTGCAGCTCACGATGTTTTAGACTGAAAACCGTTCACTGACTCCTGCAGCAATGCTGTAAGACAGTGCATTCCAAATATGATCTACATTTTAAAGCAAGAGCCATGATGGCTGAAACACAGGGATATGGCCAAGAGGAGCAGGGGGACTTGGACTGGAGCCGCCTGTCCCCAATACTTCCTTTTGCAGGTCTACTACACAGAATCGCCCTGCTTCACAGGATTTCTGTGTAAATATGCCAGTGAACACTAAACAGAGATGAGAATAATTGTCTCTGATTCTACAACAAACTAAGCATATCATTGTTAACTGAATGTTCCCTTAAACCAGCATGGTAAGCAGAAAAGGGCAGTCTTAGGCCTACTCATACCTGTAAGAGGTTGGTAAGCAAGATCAGTGTCTGCTTCCGGATAAATGGGTCTGAATCTTTCAGACAAATGGAAATATTGGGAATATAATTGTCCACCATGACAGTGTATCGGATACAAAGATCACACATCACAATGATGACATTGTTGCGGACAGCCACATCCTCACACACTTCAAGTTCTCGCACAAGGGCTGGGATGCTTTTCTTTGCAAGGTCTTCATGCTGTAAGCACAGTTTACCTATTACGGAAAAGAGGAAGATGTCTAGATGCCACACTTCGGGTTACACAGAGGAAACATACGCCCCAAATCACAAAGAACAACAAACTCACAGACAAATATTAGACAGTTTAAAAATAGCACTCAAAATCATAAACTCCACAAGTTTCTTGAGACACGTGATTTTTTCCTCTGCAATAATAAAATCGTCTTGCACTTAAAGTCGTTCTTTGAATTTTATAGTTACCTACTTACCCACAAAATGACCAGTAAAACCTAACACATTTTAGTTTTGATGACATACATGCTCTAAAAAACTTATTGAATTAAAAATGCAAGCTAGACAGCAGGAAAGAGTACTGTGTCACTTCTCTTATTTTTATTCACAGTTAGAAGGAGACTGCTGGATTACAGTCTCTAGTGTGTTTGCTTCGTGCCCTGGGGAATGTTTGGCTCTTATTTGTAATTCTTAGGTATTTTTAAAACAACCAATACCACAAAATAAACAAAAAGAAAAAAAAACCCCAAACCAAACCACAGCAGCAACAAAAACCATCATTCCAAACTATTTCTACTATAAAATACATAATCACTTTTAAAGACAGAATATTTCAATCATAGCCAGAGGTCAGTGTTTTCAGGATAAACTATTTGAGTTTGTGGAGAAATGTGCTCATAACTCATCTGTCAGTTCTGGGAAATATTAAATAAATCATCTTGCTCTATAAACAGAACTTCAAACTTTCCATACCTAAAACCCAGTGTAGTATCTAGAATACAATTCTTGTTTTGTGTGTGTGCAGACTCGTGTGTATACACAAGTGTCAGTAGAGGTCAGAAGAGAACCCTGAGTGTTCTCCTTTGAAAAGGGGCTTCTCAGGGCCTGCAGTTTGCCAAGCAGGCTAGGCTGGTGGGCCAGGGAGCACCAGGGGTCTGACAGTCTCTGCTTCCTCAGTGGACTTGGTTTCCTTAACTATTTTTTATCTTAATGTGTTTTAGGTGCATGGG